ACACCCTTATGGGGCAAGACTTGCTTCAGTGGGGCTTTGATGCTCACTGAGTCTGCCCCCTGAGCGTGTCCCTTATGGATCTGAGGAGTTGTAATCTGGATGGTCCCACTCTGACCACTGAGTACACTGGCACTTGGATCTCTAAGGAGGTGCTAATTTAGCCTCTGCCTGAGGCTACCCAGAAGGAGCTATGGAGAAATCTGCAGACTCCTCTTCTTGGTTTGGGATTTGGATGTACCCAGATGAGGCCCAGCTGTGAAGCAATGCAAACTGCTGTAGGGCCTTCGGCCCTCTTTTGGATGTTCTATGTCTTTCTGACCCTGCTGGAGTTTGTTAGGTAATTTTCAGATTGCAAAGGGCCAGGTCATTCATATTGAAAAGCCTCTACACACAGCTTGGCTAGGGCAGAGTCTCAGGGAATCAACAGGGTGGAGCAAACAACTATGGCTGATCCTCAGCCCTGCTCTAAGAGGCCCCTGATCTCAGTGTCCTGGTAATCGCTGCAAGCACCTCTGAGAGAAAGCCGCCCTCAAGTTTCACCCAATGCCAGACAGTCCAGTTTCTCTCCTTATGAGTCTGGGTTCCAGAGACTCACCCGGAACTGGAGTTCAGAGCAAGAGCATGTGTCTCCTTTTGGATTGAAAAAGACAACCTCGTCCTCAGTGGCCAGCCTTATTCACGTGCGCTTCCCTACCTCTCCACTTTATTTTTGCACCTCCTCTGAGTCTCAGTGTGCTTTTCCCTTTCCTTCTAGTTGTAGAATTTCCACTCAGCCAGCCTTCCTGTGGTTCTGGATGATGTCCGTTTTGTCTTTTACTTGTATTTTTGAAGTGGTCGTAGGAGGCAGCAATTTCAGGTGTTTGCCTATGCTGCCATCTTGGTTTCTCTCACTTTTATTTTGAACATAGTTTATCCTTCACAGTCTTCTCATAAGTGTCTTTGTACATTATGTAGTAAATTATTATGGTTCAGAGAAATAAAAATTAAGTCAATATCTAGAAAATCAGCTGGTTTCTATTGGGGTGTAAAACATAAACCACCATACTAAACATCATTGTTATTCACTTCTAAATGTCAAATATGTTAAGAGTTCTATGTGAGTTGCAGTAGTTTGTATCAGGTTTAATAGAAAACTTCACATCATGGAATTTAACAACTAACTATATGCACACTAGATAATTAAGTAATATTGCTATTCTGGGACTGGTGTTTTAAAACAGCCAGAACAGCACAGCTGGTGTGACTTGGTGGTTGAGGTAAAGGTTCGATTCCGGGTCAGGGCACATACCAGGATTGCTGGCTCAATCCCCAGTGTGGGGCCAGCAGGAGGCAGCTAATCAAGGAGTCTTTCTCATCATTGATGTTTCCTCTAAACTCTCCCTTCCTCTCTGAAAACAATAAAAATATATTTAAATAAAGTAATGGAAAGATACTTACTTGTCCAAGATAAAAGCTGAGCCATCTAACCAAGCCCATTTCAAGTCACTGGTGTTGTAATATAAACTGATCCAAAACTTTCCTGTCCCAATATGACATTGCTTCATTGAAAATTTTAGTACAAAATCCTGGAAAGAATGAGATCAGGAAATAAATCTGATGCCTTTGGTTGGTTGTCAATACATATAGAAATT